AGAGGAACAGACCCCACTACCTCCTGTGTAAGAGCCACCCCAGCCTAACACTGGTCTGGTCCAAGTCTTATGCAATGGGACATGCTGAGCCCCCAGGCTAGGAACTGCTTAAGGGACAATTGGCTAGTAGCTTGTTTTGCAACATCACTTAAGTCTGAATCTGAATCTTACCACGGCTTTCTCTTTTTATGAGCCTACTGTCAGAAAGCTAAAGAGAGCTTGGGCTTTTCTGGATTGCATATTCTTCAGAGTATTCTTCTCCCCAGTAGTTTCCCTTTCAAAAAGTGACCTTGAAGAATGCTGTCCTACCTGGTATTATGAGCTAAATTTATTTCACTACTTACAGTTATCTCCGCTGTGACAGTTTCTGACATTTTCTAGTCTTCGCTTTTAATCTCAAAAGCATCCCTTTTCCACATACTTACATGGCACTTTTCACATACAGGTGAAGCTGCAAGAGAGAGAAAGAACAGGGATATCTCTGGCAGCATATCAAATAATTCCTGGGAGCAGAGCAGAGAACCCCATTTAGGCAGGGATAGAAGGACTTTGGGATTAGAACTCCCGTATGATGAAGATAATGGCTTAAACATGTGGATGAATAACTACTTTATGACAAGGCAAAATCTTTCATCAAATTCATGTTTCTCTACACTCTCCTGGGCTACATCCTGTATGTTCTAAATCAGGATCATTTCTTGATTTTCTAGGGCAATTGCACAGGTATCTGGTATCTCTCTATGGATTTTTATGAGAAAACTGATTTTTCATCTTCACACACATCACCTGTCTTGTTCTCCGATGACATGATCCAATAAAAAGTAGGTTTTTTCCTTTTAGAGAAGAAAAAGGTGTGAAGGTCCACTAAACAGATTGAGGAGAAAATAACACTTTTTTCACAGTTTACAGAGCACAAATAAAAACTGATGGCAGCAGTCCACTATTTCAATGAAGTACAATGACTCAGCATTTAATTTACACATAGCATTTATTATTTTCTGTCATACAGAAATCAACTAAGAATCTTCAGTATGTAGCATGGGGAAGAAAGATTGTGGGACTATGCAACTGTACAGAGATTCTGGAAACAGAAGAAGACCATGTTCACAAGGAGTCATTTGAAATATGGTTACTTAGGCCCCAGCCTATTATTTAGGTGTGAAAAGCAATCGAGTGGAAAACATGCAAGCATTCAGTTTGAGAGTTTAACACCCCCTGCTTCACCTTCTCAAACAAAGACTGAGAGGTCAAAATATTCTAGAACCATAAAGCCATAGACTACAGTTAGTGACTCAAACTTTTCTCCAAATGCATCCCATTATATATATATATATATATATATACCCATTATAAATATATATATATATAGGATTAATCTTGGTTACTAGAACACGATAATCCAGAAAATAGAGATTGAAGTTTCCTTCTCTAATAACAAAGATACAGGAGGACATTTTGTTACAGGTAAGAAGTTTGATTTATAGGTGGGTCTCATGTTCATGGACATGAAAATTACCTCATTCTATGAGGATAACAAAAAGTTTTACGCTGCTTATGCTGAATCTGGTATGTACATATAGTTTATCCTATTTATACTGATTTTAAGCATATTGATATAATTCTACTAAAAGGCAGGATGCCACGCCATACTCAAAAGAGGGTTATAAAATAAAGAAGTGAAGAAATAAAATATTTTCATTAAACACAAGAAAATCATACAAATGACTAAATATGGACTGCATAAATGAGGATGCTGTAGATTGAAGTAATTTGATGAGATTAGTCTTGAAACTGGCTTACACAGTTATAAAGTAAGCTACATGAGCCAACATTTTTTACTCTGTTTACCAGTCTTTCTGTTCAGACATTTAAAAATATCCTGATTTTTATAAATATGGATCTGATACAATTCACGCTAATTTCAGTGGGAGCTGAGAAAAAGTCAGAGTCACTTTTACTAGCATGCATAAATATAAAACCTGACAGACTACCTATGCATTTGGGCTCATTTCCCAAATTTGTACATGTGAGCCTCTGTTCAGGTTCACCAGAATATGTACTCACTTTAATCCAGTTAACAGTCATGTTTCATTAACATACAAAGCCTATTTTGACCATCAATGTCCTTGTTAATTATATCTAGTTACTGAGTTATAGTCAACCCCCTCAAACATTGAGGCTTCATTTATTGAAGATCTGATCAGTATTCATATTTCACTGTGCAATAGTGAAATAGCTTTTGTTGCATGTAATGCAAAAAGTTAGATTTCTTAGGACTTTGATTTCTCTAGTGGAGCAGTCTTCTGAGCTGAGAATCAAGGAGAACAGGGAAGCAACTTAATGGAATTCCATTATTAATTATTTCATACTTTAACTGCATCCAGATGGTTCATCAGGATTAGAATCTCATTAAGTTGAGTACCATATAAAAACACAAGTATGCACAGTGCCTGCCCCCAGTGCCAGTTCCATTACCCTTTCTGGAAACTGAATGTTAACCTGAAAGCAAATCCACACATGTTTAAGTGGTTTCACTCCCATGTTTGCAGAACAGTGGCCTAATTGACTATACAGTATAGATTGCAAAGCAAAGTATAAGAGGAAGGTCAAATGCAAGAAATAAACAGGTGTCTGTGCATGCATGGACTGTATAGCTTCTTCAGTTATTAATTACCAAAGGTTAAGAAAATAAAATAAATAATAAAAAAATCAAACCCAGTATTTTCCCCAAGTTGATACCCCCTTTTTATACAAATCACTTTCCTCTGTTACAGGTTTAGTTTCCTTAAACACACATAGTAATTTTTGATAGGTTGGTTTTAAATTAGCCAAATAATAGATTTCAGCTGTAATTTTTCCAAAATTGAACACATTAAAGCTTATTTTTCAAAAATAGTATATATAGCTTGCGTTCAAGAGATAAAGCTGAAAACGAGTATGGATTTTCTGCAAGAGATGAAAGCTTATATTGGATTTCAAATCTAAAAGCCTATTTCTATGGAATCATCTGTTGTAACAAAGCTGCTGCTTCTCATTCTTTTATCCTCAGTTCTGTGTAGTCCCGGCAAGAATGTCATCTATCAATGTACAAATGTTAAATCACCCCATTCATGAAATATTAACAAAATACATACAATTATGACTTCTAAATTGAAGTCTTTCTAGCTGCAATTTGTCACATCTACAATTGTACAATGTTATCAGTAGAGTAAAACTAGAAAACTATGAAATAGATATATTGGAAAAATAGCATTTCTAGTACATGCATTTAACAAACGTAAGCCCTGAACCTGCTTCAGCTGAGGTCAACAGGAGTGTTTCCTTTGACATTAGTGGAAGCAAAATCAGGCAACTTCTTAAATGTCCTGGTTCTGAGCAACAGATGAACAGTATAATAGCAGTTCTAAATTCCTTCATGCAAAGGTTTAGATTTTCTGGAACAAAGTAGAATGAACATGCTACTAATTATCTTCCAGATGGCAATAATATATACTAAATTTTTTAAATCGCCTCCTGCAATCTGTGCCTAGAACAGGTGTGGTTTTTTTTTTTTTTTTTACATATCCCCTGAAAGAAGCTGAGACAGACAGTGCTAAGGGAACAGATCCTATGGACAGTCTTTGTGTGAGAAACATGGGAAGCTCTCTTGCCCACCAGTTCCTCCAAAATAATAATAATAAAATTTGCAAACTCAAAAATTCACTGTAATTTTGAAATAATTTAAAACTTTAAAAAGTGTGGAATAAGATTATTAAACACATACAGTTTGATCACACATAATCCAGAACTTAAAAATATTGGAAACAAGCCATATTTCTTGCACTTCATTACTAATCTTTTCCAGCAATACCCAAAGTAGTTTTATTATATTTTTTATCTCAAATAACTACTTGCGGTGAGCACCAAGTTCCTGTCTGCTGTCTTTATTACCATTTTACATGCTATAGACCTTGATATGGCCCTAGCATCCTCACCTAACTTTGAGGTTACCTCTGTTTTTAGCAGGTTGAACTAGACACCTTTGGAGGTCCCTTCAAGCTTGTGTTTTTCTGTAATACTATGATTATATCATACTGCAATTTTTCTATAATCATCTGGTTCGACAGCAAGTTTTTCTAAGAGAAAAATGATGAATATACAGTGTCCTTTCCACTGCCCCTACCACAAAAGCAGATGTTTGTCTTCTCTTATGCTCTTATCACTTCTGGTAGCAGCCCAGCTTGCCTGCTGATCTCATTCCATGCATGCTGATCTCTCTTGATCTTTACATTAGGTCTTAGTCTCCTCACTTCTTTTGATACACTATATAAATATGGTATAATCTCATGCCTTCAAAAAACAAAACAAAATATATTATTAACTGATGTGCTTTTCTAACGGTTGCCTCTCTCCATGTTTAAGCTCAGTTTCCCTCCTGCAATTCTGTCATACTTTACTGAACTGGCATGTGCCTGCCTTTCATTCTGAGAAAGGCAGTTACCTCATTTTGATAACAGACCTTAAGAGTATGTTCTTAACCAGCCTCAAAACTGCTATTTTATATTCATCTGTCTTATGAGCCATCTTCAATGAAGCCAATGGAGCTTTTTTCCTTATATCCTGTCATCCTCATTTAACTCTTATCACCATCTTTGTTTATTTCCCTAATTTTTTTTTTTTTTTTTTTTTTTTTTTTTTTTTTTAGTTTTTTTTAAAAACACCCAAAAAAAAAAAAAAAAAAAAAAAAAGTTCTAGGAAAAATATTAAACCC